AGGTTTGGAAGATCTCTCTTATTTTTGCCTTTCTAATAGGTGAGCTCTTTGCTTGAAGCAGAAATTCTCAGCAGGCATCCTAAACAAACACTGTTGCACTTTGAGTCTCTTAAACACCTATATGTTGTTTATAAAAAACAACTAAACAATCAAAACCCCCAGGAGCTCTGCATATGGCAAACTTGGAGGATCTGATCCTAGAACAGCTGTTCTTAACACTTTAACCTACTTAAATGTTTTAAGTTTGGTCAGATCTACTTTAAACAAACACTGCATTACAACTTCTTAATGTTAGTTAGTTTTATTTAAAGAAATATGAGACAATATACAAGCTTATCATGTTCTTGAGTTACACATTATGTCTGCTTTGGTTATGGGAATTAGATTTACTCAAATGCAAGGAAAAATTCAGAGCTTCACAAACAATGAACTGTACAGAACTGAATAATTTCAACACTTCAGGAATCTTGGGATAGATTTTACCTTACTGATACATGTGGCTTGGCTTTTTAGATATCTCTAGCACTGCTAACTGTATTACTGGAAGCTGTGGAATTGCTTGGGATTTCTCTGCCCAAGAGAGATTTTGAAGGCGGGGAGGGGGCAGGAATTCAGGCTATTTAATTTGTAATTGCCTCAGAAAACAATTCAATAGGGTGGAGTGCATCTTAAATCTCCTGACTGGGTCATCTTTTGTAGTACTCATCAGCACTTTAATAAATCTCCTCAGTGTTGTCTAATTTGAAAATCTCTCTTTGCCCATAATAAACTGCACACAGGTCCTCATAACCATCTGCAAAGGTCTTGGGGTTTTGTAACCAAATGTACATTTCCAGCTATGTAGTTTTACAAATGATACTGTAAACTTCTGAAACGGTATCTGGACTTTATCCTTTATTGACATTAGATCTGCAATGTGGCAAAGCTGTTTGATGTGGCAGAAAAGTAATGAACAGAATCCTTGCATTTTCTTATGCAGAAAGAACAAGCAGTCCAGAAACAACTTGGTGGCTAGACATGGTTTTCCTCTGTCCTTTAGCAAGCATGTTTAATCAGTTCAAGAAATCTGCATCCTGATCCCCACAGCCAGTGAGAAGATGAGAGCATTCGAAGGCAGCCTCAAGTGGATTTCTTCTTAGGCCACAAAGGCCAAAAATGGGAAGAGAATCTTGTCTTATTCCCCTAAGGGCACAAATCAGTCTGCCAATGTATCCTTCTACCTATGTTTTTTGAAAACACTTTATGTATGAAGTGAAATGGACTATATATGATCTCCATATATATACATATATATATGGAGTATGGACTATATGATGGAGTGAAAAGGTGCAAAGGAGGTGAAGGCAGCCCACAGGACTAGAGCCAGAATGCAGCCTGTGTGCAAGGCTGGAGAGCGCTGGCTAAAGCACACTGTGCCTAACAGCGAGCTCAGCTCTGCAGGATCCAAGCATATCTCATGGGACAAACAAAAGCAGCAGGAGAACAAGTGCCGGGCTGCACATCTATTGTTCTCTAGTCCTTGTTAAGCTGCTGAACACCAGGACTGGAATTTGGGAGATCTGTGAGCTAGTCCTGGCTCTGCCTATGCTGGGTGCTCCATTACATGCTCAAAATTTTCAGTTTTAAAGTTTGAGCTTTAAGAAAGGAAGGCCAGACTTGCAGAGGTGCTAGGTACTCACAGTGGCTGCAGTGGGAGTTCAGGCTTTTCAAACCCTCAGAAAAATAAAGCAGGAGATGTCTAAGGGTATCAGCCAAATCTACAGGACACTTGCTTTAAACTTGGTCTCTTCCACCTGACACAGTGCCTGCAGGTATGGCCTGACCATGCCTTTGGATACTCTGTCATTCTCTCTTGCCCCATGCCTTGATCTCTTTTTTGCCAACATTCCTACTTTTTCTACGAGCTTCTTCTCCTCGTCCTGTGACAAAGTCAAATCATGTCTCTGTTCTCATTCACCACAACCTAAAGGCTCTCTATCCAGCCTGTACTTGTACAACTCAGGGCCTGTACTTTACCCTTGAGTCCTGGCCTCAGGTGCCCAGTGTCTTCTGCTGAACTCATCACAGGAGCTGGCAGTCCTAAGGGTTGGGATAACATTATCTTCTATCACACTGGAAGTGAATACACATTCATAGGCTTTTATGAAACAGAGATTCAAAAGCTTCTTCAAAGCACTGTTTTTTTCTACCACAATTACCACAAATCCTGAAATCCTGAAATGCCAAGCTTCTCCCTTCCCCTCTATTTACCTAGGACTCCTTATGGACTCAACAGCATTGATACAGCAGCATTTTTTCCTGACTCATCAGTAATGTTAGCAGCTCTCTGCTGCTCCTCCCACAACAGCCACAGAAGTGGGTAATGCTGAGTCCTACCTCACAGAGCTGAGCTCCGTGCTCAAACTGCAAAGTGGGTTTCAGCCTGCATTAATGTAGTGTGTAAAACCACTCAGTTTATAACTTTGGCTTCTGTACTATATTCTTAATAAATTTGCTACACCAACAGCATAGTAATGAATCATGTTGGATATTAAGCATATAATAAGGAGAAATCCCTAAGGAGAAAGCAAACTGCATACTGCATTGGTTACAAGAGTAACCAATAAACCAGAACACTGATTATAGTGTGCATGTGTTTGTATGCACACACATCCGTGCCCTTTGTTTCCAGAACGGAAAAAAAGGATATTATTCATTGTTATAAATGCACCTAACAGCTTCGCCAGACTCTGCACTCCAATACAATTTCAATCAAGATCAGAACTCCTCCTGGTTTGATTGGGGAAGGGGTAAGAGACTCTGCATCCCCAACTCCATAGAATGAAGGACTTCAAGCAATCAAAATATAGGGCACTACAAGTAAATACCATAAATATAATGCTGCCTCTCATTTATTGTGCTCATCAGTCCACATCATTACTAACAAGAGTCGATTTTAGAGGTCTGTCACAAATCCATATGATAATGCCTTTTCATCCAAGAAACTATTAAAAGTTAGATTTTTATAATGACACATCACACAAAACTACATGCTTTATCTTCAGAAAATTATGTTTCCAATTCAGCCTAACTTCTGCTAGAGCAATCATTTAGGGTCCTAAATTAACTGGATTAAAAAAAAAATCAAATCACACTACAGAAACTCAGATAATAGCAGAAGTGACTGATTATGAAACGTATTACAACAGAGGCACTCACTCACAGTGTTCTGCCACACACAAATACTCACAATAAATCCAAGCTTTTTGTAGTCTCGTGTATACATAGACTTGCGTTTCTCAATATTGCCACTGCTGTTGTTAGGTTCAGATTCTGCATCAAATGCAATTCTTCGGAGTTCAAATATAATATCTCGTTGAGCCTAAGTTAAAATAAATTTTAAATGGTTAAAATAACACCCTTCCCATTTTGAATAGCAAGACAAGGCCACAATGGTTGTTTCAAATGCTGCATTTCCTCCACTGCTCAACTTTTACCTAAATTTCTAACTTAGATAGTCAGCAAGAATGACTTGGGGCTCCCATTTTCCAAAGTCTTCAGGTTTGTGGGGTTCATAAGCAGATGCTCAAGGGCTGACTTCCAGAAGCTGGACAAGTTAAGAAGGCCACTAACTGCACACTAAATTTCTACCACAAGCACAAAAACACAGAAGCCAGGGGATGACACACATTTCAAATTAAGCCAGTGTTGAAGCACTTCACTGGCTTAAATCAAAAGGCTCAACACTCTTCCTTCCTCTCGATCCCTGTACATTTTTGCTGTGATGAGAATGGGCAGCAGTCCTTAGTTAAAGCGTTTAGAGAATTGTGTGTTAATTTGTGTGCAACAAATAGTATTAAAGCTACTGTTCAAACATAGAATAAATATAATAAAACGAACAACATATATAGGCTGACAGCAAAGAAAGGAGCTTGATTATAATACAAATTAACTGCAACTCTGGTATGCTGCATTTAAGCATTCTCTATACTCTACAGAATATATAAAATTACTCTATAGAAGTAATTTTAGGAAGAATTATACGACTCTGTTGGTTCTGAAAAGTATCCAAAGCTAATATATGCTTGGCTGCTGCTTACAGAGTTTTAGCTCAGAATGACACCAAATGCAATTGATGGAAATACATGCTAAGGAGAAAGATCTGTCTATTTTGATGTTGCACTTACGCACAAGGGATAAAACAGCCCGTTCACCATCATCTTCTAACAATCAGAAAACACAGACTAGCTCCAGACCCGCTAAAGAAGTGTGTAAGTATTCCTGGTAGTGTCTTTTCCTTCCTGAAGAGCTTTAAGCATAACAATGAGTGGTTTGTCCTACCTCTTGCTCTGATCAGATCACGACAGATGCTCACCTGATCCTGTGGATCCATTTTTGTCATCATTCTGTCTTCCAGAAGGTTAAATGTAAGTACTTGCAGAACATAAAGCTGGTGGGCCATTTCATTATTGATGTCTCTCTGTGCCCTGATAACATGCTGCAAAAGGAAGATCAACTCAGATGAATGCCATTATACCAGAAATTCCCATCAGGAAGGTTCAGGCATTTCCACTGCTGTGTGTATGCATCTGATACACAATGGCATGTGCAGACTCCAGAAAAAAAAATAAAGCAAGACTAATAACAGTGTTGTAGGTATATAGGTGATCTATGGGCTGCATTAAGAAACTTTCTAAAGGACAGGGCTGAATAACACACTGAAGCTTTCTCCTTCTAGCCACTAGATAGAGCAGGTAGTGACAAAAAATAAGGGGCAAGGCAGTCAGGAAAATGCAAGTCCTTATTAAGAACATTAGAGCTTCATATTAAAAAATGGGCAAATAGAGCCCAAGGTAGCTGTCTGAGTAAGAGTATTCAAGCTGCCAACACAATTGGCTGATGCAGTGACTGTAACAAGGCTACTGCAGAAGTCAACACCACATCACAGTCCAACCTCTGCCAGACTGTTTCATTTTACACAAGGAGAATGACTTAGAAATACATTGGAATCCAGTGCCCTGTACATTCAACCCAGAACTACCTAGCCAGGCAAAAAACAAACATCAAATTGATGGATAATACTAAATCTCTGGTTTGCCCCCAAATACTAAGGAATTGTATAGGGGAAACAGACACAGACCATCAAACACTGCTGTGCCTATGTAAGGAAAGTCACTGGGTAAGAGAGAGATAATAACTGATATAGTACAGCTCCAAGGGAGAAAGAATCTCTCTCCCAAAAGACACTGGAGCTGTCTATCATGGTAAATGGACACCTCAGAATGTTATCCATATACTGAACATTTTATGCTTATACTGAACTTTTATGAACACAACCAGTGCAAAGATATAGCTTCTGAAGTAGAAGTTCCCCTTTTTGTACACTGACCTTTGAAAGGGTGTTTGTGAGAAGATGAGCAAGATATATATCTATCTATATATAGATATAGATATAAAGGAAACATTGGTATGTCGTAACAGATACTAAACTTGTCCCTTTTTGAAGAGCCCTTTCCTTTGAAGATCTAATCTAGTCTGAGGTCAAAGGCAAAATCTATGTTACTTTTCAGAATAGAAGAAGCAAGTTTTTTACTACATTCATTAATTTCACGGTTCCTTTGTACAATTCTACACTACATATATTACATGCAACCCAATACCAAGGCATTTAGTATCATCTTTAGAACCAAAAACACTGTAGTTCATTTTGCTAGACCTGAAGACCTGGGCAGTTTGGTTGGCTTTCATCATGTCCAAACCCTAACACAGGGGATTTACCATAAATTTCTCAGACCTTTCTTAGACTACAGACATACTCCACTGGAAGAAAGCATCTAAGGTATTCTTCTATTCAGCATTATTTTACAAGAAGAAATGATAATATAGTTATCTGGGAAAAATATCATAATAATAAGTTTTGAATTTATTCAATAAGCAAGCCTTTATCCTGTACATCATAAGCTTCAAAACATAATGAAATTCCAAAAAAAAAAAACCCTACTCATAGTAAAACTTGAGTCAGCTTTTTTTCTCTCCTAATGAAAAATAACTGTGAAAATGGTATACTTACAGTTAAGATGATGAGACGAAGCTGTTTTTGTGCCAAAATGTTTGCCATTTCCTGTTTTGATTAAAATAATAATAAATTACCCAGAGGTAGATATTTTAATGCCATATTTAAAAGAACACTGAATTTAAAAGGCTAGAGTCTTAAGTTTCTGCAATATTATAAAGATATGAAACAGCATGTCAGCTATATATGTGCTATTTTAACTTTAGTGTCACAAACTCAGATTAATATGAGAAAAAGGCAAAGAAAGTGAGAAATGTATCATGAGCTGCAGAGTTTGGTGATCCCAAAATCGCAATGAAACACTTCAATTAGAAAAAAAATAACGGAAGGAAAGAGATAGGGATAGGGGTAGGAAAAGGGAAAGGGGAAAAGGGAAAAAGGAAAACCTCACAGGAGGAAAGGGAAAAAAAAGTGCTTCAAATACACCAGCCAGGACTTTTAAAATAAAATTACACTGAACATATACACATTAATATTTCAACTATATTAAAGTCTATTGCCTTAACTTTGAGCCAACAAATGAGCCTACAATTCACTAGTGTTTCACCACAGCAAGTAACACTTTTCCCTGTGTTTTGGTAGCAGTATTAATGTTGGTTGGCTAATTCTATCTTCTCTTTCCAGGCCTCAATGCAAAGCCAGCAGCAACCACGACATGTTTCTGCTTTTGTTCCTCACCATCTCGCCTGCAGCCAACTGCGCTGCGCTGCACAGGCTGGGATGCTCTATCCTGCTCTGCAGTAGAGCCCAGTGGCCTCGACCAGGCCTGCACTGCAGATCCCACTTTTAAGAACCAGGATCTTTTCCATTTACACAGAAATGTGTGCACATATGCAGACACATGCTAGCATTTGCATCAATTACATAACACACACACACACAAAACACGTAACTATTTTTAGGCCCCTGTTTTCAAAACACGGAATTGAATCATTCGAATATTTTGGTAAAATACTGCCATTTAAGCACTGCTGAAGCCACGAGGAGCTGCATTACTGAAGCCAGGCTGCAGAAGCAATGCCACTGGAGCCATGCTAGGATGACAACTTGCTTGCACAGAGAAATGATTCAGCTTGGAGACAGGAGGCAACCACGAGCATTGACTGTTTCCCTTCCACCAGATGAGCGGAGAGGGGATAAACCAGAAAGGGAGAGCCAAACATAGGAGAAACTTGACTTCTGTTTCCAAGCCTTTGCTGGCAGGGCAGGCTGAGGAATGGGTGACAACAAGAGCCCCTCCTCTGGTCAAGGCCCAGATGAGCTGCAGGGGGAGCGGGAGAACGGGGCGGCCTTGTCTGAGCGCAGGCACCGCCGCGCAGCAGCGGGAGGAGCACTCAAGGCACAGAACTTATCTTGTATGTTGAGGAGGATAATCAAATTGGCACTTGGTTCTTATACCTGGACACTAAACGCCTGTTACTAGGAAATCTTTTTTGGTCCCCCAAAAGACCAAACATGATAGGAAGCACAAGCGTTCACAAAACCTATTGCGTTAATGCTTGGGAGGGATGGGGTGGGGATGGTCAACTTTTGTCTTCAAGACATCCATGCAGCCATTAGCAGTCCCTGAGCTGCCTCTTCTAAAGTAAGGATTGTAATAACTGATATGAACAAGAAATAGCTGACAAAATTTTCCACCTCATTTTCCATAGCAACATCTCTCTGCAAAAACACAGACAATTGCCAAAAAAATCAAAGTGCTTCAAACATACACAGAATCATTCCCTTGCTCAAATTCTCGGCTCTTTTCTGATACATAAAGCCTATTTTTTTTCTTTCTTTCTTTTTAAATAATCAAGGTCTTTCTGGATGAGCCTTGACAATGGCAGAGGAAGCAAAGCAAGCAATGAATTCTCATTAAAAAAAGAAAACACAGAGAAAGCAGAGCAGGAAGAGGAGGCACAGTGCAGCATCAATTTAAATCCCTTACTTAACTGGAGTGCCAGCACCCACATTGCGCTGGATCCCCCTAGCACAGTAACAGAGAGGGTGTCAAAGCTCCTAGAGTCACAGGGCCTTGGGCCCACAGCTCGCCATGCTGGTTGGCACGATGGTGGGCAGATGTTGCTCTTGTGTTCTGCCTGGGACGCACTCTTTTGCGCAAATACGTGCACTCGATAACGCCTTAGATAAGGCGTCTTAGATAACCACAGCAGGTCACAGTGTCTACAAAATACAGCTTTACGTCCTGGGAAGACCCTAGGGCGCCATCATCCTCTGGAGCTTGAGCTCCTGTCTGCTGCTCAAAGTCTTATCTACGCCTGAGGTCACCCCTCAACTTTTGATATGGATCAAACACTTTGCAGTTGCTCCAAATGAGGACACAGTTTTTGCAACAACTCAAGATAATACAACTATTTACAAATGTAAAAAACAAAATCTTTGGTTTTCTTGCAAACACGTATCACAGGTTGATGTCAAAATTGAAAAAGCCTGCAGTTTCCAATCCAATTTTTCCTCATTCAGGCCCTTCCTCCCTTAATAACTAAGAAATATACTGGAGGAAGAAGGAAAAAATAAGACAGAAAAAGAGGTCTATTTGAAAGTAAACCATGTTTTTTAGTTTGTCTATAGAATCTTATAGAATTTTTTTGTGAAAAAGAATGGCCCATTGGGTTTTTGGTGGTTAAATCAGTGCCAACATTTAAAAAAATCTAAATAAATCTAAGTAAAGTCTTAGTCTGAACTAATTAGCAACTTCCAGTGAATTTGTTCAGGACACTAGCAATATGTCACCACAAGAATTATTAACACTGTTTCTAGAGATTGGAATGTTAAGTAAATAAATGACTAAGTCTGGTCTGACACAGACTAATGATGTTATGAACATGTATAAAATTGCCCTTTCTCATAATACGTCATGTCCTATTCTCATTTAATAGCAATTAGTAACCGTGAATATTTCCTTTTGAGAAGATTTCTGATCTCTGGCATTAGGTTAATTTATATGTTACACTATGATAGTTTAAAATGTTTACATGGTAAAATATTCCCATAAAAATAAACACACTTTTTTATTTAGAAATTGGAGTCGGGGGGCAGAAATGATTTATCAAAAAAACAGTCTGGCTTTACAGGCTGTGCTGGCAAGGAGTTCAGTACCATAAATGCCACAGCCAGCCACAGTCAAGAGAGTTCATGCGAGGTTACACTGAACCATAAAAACACAGCAGAATGCTTAAACTCTGCTAACACTGCTGCGAAATGGAGATATCTCCATTGAGGTTAATGATATTACACCAGTCTGAAACAAAGTGCAACCAGAAGCAGAATCACTGTCATTTTGATATAACAGCAGAAAAAGAGTGAAGGGAGCAATTACAGGTATGAACATGACTGCTACACTTTTTCTGCAGATATATAGTTTTACAATCAAACCCAACAACTTACCTGCCTCTTGTCATCCGGTGCTTTAAGGAAAAGTGCATTTATTACAGCAATGGTATACGTCTGGATTTCTTGATCTGTCCTGCTCAGAACAAAATGATAAAGAAGCAAGATAAAAGTGTATGTATGCAAGCTGTACAAACCACTCTAGTTGCCTTAAACCTTTAGTGACAAACAAGTTACAGCTGCAAGTGCAGGGACTGTTTGCACTTAATGTTAGCTATGTCAAGGTTAGGGAATTAGTCAAAACTAACCACCAAGGTTATATTTCTATGATTTAGAAGACAGAGAGAAGGCTCCACAGGGAGATTCGACAGGAAAGGTGGAATGACTCAGTCCCTAGCAGTACCCTCGGCCCTCTGCTGACTACAGCAAGATCAGAGACCACTAGCTTATGCCAGATGCTCAGCAGCTGAAGGCAGGGGAGGGCAATCTTCTCTAAGTGCTCTGCAGATGAACATGTCTGCATAAAAAGCATTTTAGACATTGTAAAATTCCTCAGCCGTGAGGCAAGCACAACTACTTTACAAAACACTGCTCTGTTACAAGAGGCAGCTTCCTTTCACGCATGTTAACAGCAGCACATTACTGTTCAAACAAACAAAAGAAAACACCACACACACACAAAACAAACAATAACAGAAAAAAAAAACAGCAACTTTGAGCAACCTCAGAAATCTGGCTACTGGTCACTCTGCAAAGATTAGGGATGTGAAAGGCAGCCAGAATGTTGCTAGTCTTTATGCCATTCTTATTTTAAATATTATGCTTATTTGGGAGAAAAAACCCACCGCATGAGTTGCAACTGAAGACACTCACCCTTGGAGATGTGGGATTAACTGCCCAATGGTGATCTCCTGTGCCACCTTCTGGTAGAGGTCATGGCTATTGAGCACCATCGATTCCAGGATTGCTAGTGACCGTTGCAAGATAGAGATGTCCGAAGCAAATTTGTTCACATAGCTTGCTATCTACAAATTTAAACATTTGGAGAATTTACATCTTGTTGCAAGAATGGGGAAAGGGTGGAGAGAGGAAACTGTGGAGATGACACAGAAAGGCACTAGAAAAGAGGTCATTCTGTGCCTGGCTCAGGTATCAGCGAATACCTGAAAATAAACCAACAACCTGGCTGTGTATTCCTTCAAAGGACACGGTGGCAGATGCTTCAGCTGGCTTGAATCAGTGTAAAATTATATTAATATTTATACCACCAAAATACGTGCTTCAACTTTAAGTTCCTGTGCACAAGATAAATTAACACGAAAGAGCGACGAAGTTTATATTTCCAGGTTACAAATTATAACTCAGTTGATAATCAATTATCAGTACAACCGGCTCTGCAACTCTTCGGAGAGTCGAGGCTCTCTTTCTAGCTGTTCCTTTATTTGCAAAGCTTTGCTTTTCCTGAAAGCCCCCCTGAACAAATGGCTCTCTAAGTGAAACCAGGGCTGCAGAGAGCTTTTGCAGCACGGCAGCGGCATGCACGCTCAGCTCTGCTGCACCAACACAGCTGTACAAGCCCCGCAGCCTGTTGCCCCTTCTCCCAGAGAGAAGCCTGGCTTCTGCAGATGGAGGAACCGCCGGTGTCATCCTTGAACAAATTAATAGCAGCACATGTGAGCACAACATCCCCTGAAGAAGCAGAAACAAATATCCTGTAGACTGATATTTTCTCTTTGCATGCAAGTAACTAACTGCAACTACAGACACTCTATCTCAAATCTATTTGGTGCATTCTTTCTAAAAGACGCCAAGTTTGTGC